CCCGACACCTAGGCCCCCGCCCCGCCCCCACCCTGGGTTATCGCAGCTTTTCCGGGGCGAGGCCCAGCAGGGAAGGGGGGCCGGGGAAGCCACCCTGCCACGGTGACGATGACACGTGTCCCTGTGTCGCTGTGTGTGTCCCTGTGTCTGCGTGTCCTTGTGTCCCACTCACCTGTAACCACCATATCCATGTGTTCACCTGTGTGTCCGTGTGTCCCCCCGTGTCCCCTCATGTCCGTGTGTCCCTCTATTTGTCTCCCATCCATGCATCCCCGTGTCCATGTGTGTCCCCATATCCATGTCTCCCCATGCCCCACCCCGAGTCCCCGTATCCCTGTGTCCACTCGTGTCCATGTCCCCATGCCCGTGTGTCCATCTGTCCCTACATGTCCCCGTGTGCCCCCGTGTCCGTGTGTCCCCTGTATGCACGGGTGTCCTCGTGTCCCCATCCCAGATCCTGGAGAGCACGGTGGAGAATGCACGGACTGTGCTGCAGATCGACAACGCTCGGCTGGCGGCCGATGACTTCCGGGTCAAGTGAGGGCGGGATACTGGGAATAATGGGAATAATGGGAATACTGGGAATGATGGGAATACTGGGAATAATGGGAATAATGGGGGTGGGAACATGGCAGGGATGACACGGGAATGAGGATGGAGTGGGAATAATGGGGGTAGGAATATGATGGAAAAGAGGGTGGAGATGGGGTGGGAATGGGGATAGGGGTGAAAATGGAGTTGGAAACAAGGTGGGAATGGAGATGGGAATAGGGGTGGGATTGAGTAGGAACGGGGATGAAGATGGAGTGGGGATGAGGGTGAGGATGGGGGTGTGAATGGGGATGAGGATGGGGATGGAGATGAGAGATGGGGATGAGGACAAGGATGGAAACAGTTGGGATGGGAGTGGGGATAAGGACAGTGAGGGAGATGGGTTGGAGACAAGCATGGAAAAAGGAGAGGGAGTGGGAATTGGGTGGAAATGGATGGAGATGGGGATGGGGACGAGGGGGAGAATGGGGCAATGGGAGTGAGGATGAAGATGGGATGCAGACTGAATGGGATGAGTGGGAAGGAGAGGGGTACAGGGATGGGAATGGAGACAGATGAGGATGGGGCTGGAGATGGGACAGGGATGTGCACAAGGACAAGGGTGAAAATAGGAGTGGGAATGGGGACCAGATGTGGACAGGGACAGGGATAGGCTGTGGATGGAAATCAGGATGAGGGCAAGGTCAAAGATGGAAGCAGGAGTGGGAATGGGGATGGGAAACTGGATGGGGACAGGGATAGGGACAGCTGTAGGTGAGAGTTGGGATGGGACAGAAATGGGAACATGGATGGAGACAGGGGTGGGACAGAACTGGAGATGAGGATGAGGAATAGGATGAGAAGGAATGGGGATGGGAACAGGGGATGAAAATGGGGATGAACACAAAGAGAAGGATGAGAATGAGGATGGGGACAGGTACAAAGATAGGATGAGTGGAGGTGGCAGAAGAGATGAGACAGGGATAAGAACATGGATGGAGACAGCAATGGGGTGAGGTCAGGTGGGGCTGGAGGTGGAAATGAGATGAGGGTGGGACAAGGAGATGGGATAGAATTGAAAATGGAGATGAGAACAAGGATGAGAATGGGAAGGGAAACGGAGATGGAAATGAGGATGAGGATGGGGATGAGAATGAGGATGGATATGAGACAGGATGAGAATGATGGGAATGGGATGGGGAAAGGGTTGTGATGGGGATGGAAATGGGAATGAAGATGAGGATGATGGGACAGGGATGGGGAAAAGGATGTGTTGGGGATGGAAACAGGGCTGAGGATGATGGGGATTGAACGAGGATGAGGAAAAGGCTGTGTTGGGCTGGGGATGGAAATGGGGCTGACGATGGGGGTGGGGGACAAGGATTCATCAGGGATGGAAACAGGGCCGAGGACAAGGACAAAGTTATGAACGGGCACAAGGCTGGCTCGGCTCCGTGTCCCTGCCTGGCTCTGACCCTGTTCCTGTGGCGTGTCCAGGTTCGAGGCAGAGCTGGCCATCCGGCAGTCAGTGGACAGCGACATCGCCGGGCTGCGCAAGGTCTTGGACGACACCAACATGACGCGGCTGCAGCTCGAGGGGGACATCGAGGCCCTGCGCGAGGAGCTGATCCTGCTGCGCAAGGACCATGACCAGGTGGGTCCAGAGGGCTTGGGGGCTCGGGAGGGGCTGTGGGGCCCCAAACTGACCCATTCTGCCTCCAGGAAGTGCAGGACCTGCGGGCGCAGGTCTCGCAGTCGGCGCTGACGGTGGAGGTGGACGCACCGCGGTCGCAGGATTTAGGGAAGGTCCTGGGCGAGCTGCGGGCTCAGTACGACGCCCTGGCCCAGAAAAACCTGGAGGACCTGGAGAAGCAGTGGGGGCAGCAGGTAGGGAACCCTAAAAAACCTCAAATCCCACCCAAAACCAGCTCCAAAATGATCCTGGGGGAGCTGCAGATCCAGGACAATGACTCTGAAGGACCTGGAGAAGCAGAGGGGGTGGGAGCTGTGGACCCCAAATCCCCACCAATCCACACCCGAGGGTCCCCAATGACGCTCCATAGGGGTATCCCCAATGTGGGTTCACCAGGGGAGTCCCAAAAAAGGGGAAACTCCTTTTGGGGAGTGTCCCCAGGCTGGTGTGGGAGGTCCCCAAAGAAGCCACACAAAACCAGGGGAAGAGGGGTGGCAGACCCAGGGGGTCCAGGGTGGACACTCAGGATGTTTTCAGGGGGAGTCCTGAGGTGAACTGCTTCAGGAGGTTTCTGGTCCAATCTTGGGGACACTTTTGGGATGGCCTCTGTCCAAGGGGGTCCAAGTTTGGAGCCCCTCTAGGGCACACCCCACGATGTGGGATCCCCATTAGGGTCCCATGACTGAGTCTGGCTCTTCTTGAGATGGTCTCCCTCCCCCACATCCCCTCCGGGACTTGAGGTGTCTGTGGTGGGTGGGACCGAGGCTGCTGCCCCCAGACCCCAAGGTTGTCCCCAGGCCCCCCCAGACCCCTCCTTTCCCTCCCAGATCACGGAGACCACCCTGGAGGTGACGCAGAGCACAAAGGACCTGGACGTGGCACGAGGCACCGTCGGGGCCCTGCGTCGCTCACTGCAAACCCTCGAGATCGACCTTGAGGCCCTGCGCAACCAGGTACCCCAAAATTCCCCAAACTCCCCAAATAAACCCCACCCCCCCAAAATCCCTCAATCCACAGCCTCACAACCCCACATCCCCCCCAAAAAAGCCCTAGCTCCCCTTAATCCATGGCTCCAGAGCCTCAAAACCCTTCCAACCCCCAACCCATAACTCCAGCCCCACAAAGGCCATTTTTGACCTTTCACCCCCTAAACCCTCCAAATCCCCCAGAACGCAGGGCTGGATGTGGTGCTGCCTGAGGCTGATGCTCGGGGCAGGGTGAACGCCCACAAGACTCCCTAATCCTCCCCTGATCCCCCCAGAACACGGGTTTGGGGTCTGCATTGACCAAAGCTCAGAGTGAACCCCCAGTTTTTGGGGTGAACCCCTGCAAAACCCCTACATTCCCCAGCATGTGGGTCTGGAGTCACTGGCTGAGCCCGAGGTGACTCCTCCCCCACTATTCTTGGTGCAGATCCTCCAAACTCCCCATTTTAGGGGTACTGGCTCCCCCCAAACCCCCTAATTCCCCCACAAACACCCCGGAATACAGATTTAGAGGTTGCCATGGTCAAGGCTGAGACTCAAAGTGAACCCACCCAAAACCCCCTTAACCCCCCAATCCCTCCAGAACGTGGGTCTGGAGGCAATGCTGGCAGAGGCTGAAGCTTGGGATGAGCCCCTTCAACCCCAATTTTCGGGGTGCTGGCTCCCCCAAACCCCTCTAATCCCCCGGATCCCCCCAGAACGCGGGTCTGGAGGCGGCGCTGGCCGAGGCCGAGGCGCGGGCCGGGGCTCACCTGGCGCAGGTGCAGCTCCAGGTGAGCGCGGCCGAGGCAGAGCTGCGGGACGTGCGGGCGCAGCTCCAGCGGCAGAACGAGCAGCACCGGGAGCTGCTCGGCCTCAAGGACCGGCTCGAGGCCGAGATCGCGACATATCGGCAGCTGCTGGAGGGCGGCGACGGCTTCAGGTTAGCAGGGGGAGGGGATCAGGTACGGGGGGGTTCAGGTCGGGGGGAAGGATTCAGATAGTGCCGGGGGGAAGTTCAGGTGAGAGGGAAGTTCAGGTACGGGGGTGGGGGTGAGTTCAAGTGAATGAGGAAGTTTGGGGGGGAGTTCAGGTCGGGGGAGGTTCAGGTGAAGGGGAGGAGTTTAGGGGGTTCAGGTGAGAGGGGGGTGCGGGTATGAGAGGGTTCAGGAGGGAGTTTGGTGGAGAGGGAAGGAATCCAGGTACGGGGTGTTAGAAGTTCAGGTGAGGGGGGAATCTGGGGGTGTAGTTGAGATATGGGCGGTTTGGATGAGAAGGAGAAGGAAGCCAGGTACAGGGGGTGGGAGTTCAAATCGGGGGGGAGTTCAGGTACAGGGGGAGAATGTGGGGTGGGCATTCAGGTACAGGGGCTCAGGTGAGAGGGGGAAGTTCAGGTTTTGGGGGAAGGTGAGCACAGAGAGCTCGGGTGAGGAAGTTTTTGAGGAGTGAGTTCAGGTATAAGGGCTCAGGGCGGGGGGGGGGGGGAATTCAGAGGGGGGGAGTTCAGGTTAGGGGGAAATCCAGGTACAGGGGATTCAGGTGGGATGGAAGTTGAGATGAGGGGGAAATGGAGACAGAGGAGGGGGGGATATGGGCTGGGAAGGGGATGGGAAGGAATAATTCCAGGAACTGAGTGTCCAGGTGCCGTCCCTGGGTATGAGTGCTTCCCACCCTGGCATGGGGAGGGGACACCCAGGGCAGACAAGACCCCTGTGATGAGGTGTCCCACTAATTACAAGATTTTTAGGACAGCCAGGGGACAGCAGTGACATCCAGGGGGAATGATCCCAGGAGACCACATATTCCAGCCCTGTCCTTCAGAATGGCCTGGGGATGGGGGCAATAGTGACGTCAGAGGGGATGAACACCAGGTGTCCAAGTGTCCAGTTAAAATATTTTGGGAACAGCCAGGGGACAGTGGTGACACCCAGAGGGGACAATCTCCAGGGTGTTGAGACACTCCATCTCCATCAGTTGTTGGGTGACACTGGTGGGGGGGACACTACCAGCATGGGGAGGGGACCCCTGGGTGCCCCCACCCCTAACACCCCCTCCCCACAGCCTGAGGGATGCCCTGGACAAGGAGACCACGGCCACCACAGCAGGGACAGGGACCACCCAGCGCGTGGTCACCGAGACCAGGGAGGTGAAGGTCCGCACCTACTGAGGGGGTCACGGGGGATCCCCGGGCCACAAAACCCGGGGTGTCCCCGAGCCCCTCCAGAGCCAAATAAAGTGGTGATTCCCATGAATGACAGATGGGATGTGTGGTGTGTGTTTCCGGGGGAGGACATGGGGATGGGGACACGGGGGTGGGGACACGGGGGTGATACCGGGAGGAAACTTGAGGCACGGGGAGCTGTCACGGGAGGGATGGATTCCTGTATCCCCTCCTTGTCACCATCCCGATAACGACTCCCGGTCACTCATGACCCCCTGGGACGCCCCTTTCGCCCCCTGCTCATGTCGGGGTCCCTGGGGGCATCGACCTCCCAGAACCAGCCGGGAGGACCCCAAAATGTCCCTGTCCCCACCGGCCCCGGGATCAGCCCCGAGCTCCGGGCGCCGTCCTGCCCTGAACCGCTCCCAGGAGGACACGGGGGTCGCGGAAGCGGGGGTCCTGCTGCAGTGCTCGGGGGTCCCGGTGCGGTGCTCGGGGGTCCTGCTGCAGTGCTCGGGGGTCCTGCTGCAGTGCTCGGGGGTCCTGCTGCAGTGCTCGGGGGTCCCGGTGCGGTGCTCGGGGGTCCTGCTGCAGTGCTCGGGGGTCCTGCTGCAGTGCTCGGTGGACGCGGTGCGGTGCTCGGGGGTCGCGGGCATCCTTGTGCCCGGGAGTCCGGGTGTCGGGAGTTCCACGGGCGCCGCTGCCCGGGGATCTCGGCGCAGATGTCTGGGAGTGTCAGTGCCCGGGGGTTGCGGTGTCTCGGAGTCCCTGGGGTGTCGCTAGGCCGGGCGTGTTGGTGCCCAGAGGGTGACGTGCCCAGGGGTGCCGGCATCGGGGCTCCCGGGGGGCTGCCACGGGTGTCGGTGTCCGGGGGATCGCGGTGCCTGGGGCTGTCAGTGTGTGGGGGAGCCCGCATGCGGGGCTCCTGGTGTCGGGGGTCCCAGTGAAAGGGAATCCCGGGGGTGTCAGTGCCCAGGGGTCCCAGTGCCCTGGGCTCCGGGGAGTGACGGTGTTGGCGCTTCTCGGTGTCCGGGATGTCACGGCCCGGAGATGTCGGTGCCCGGGAGTTCCGAGCAGCCCGGGTGGTGCCTCAGGCGACGGGGGCTGTCGTTGTCGGCCGGTGCTCGAGGGGGTCAGTGCCGGGGGATGTCAGTGCCGGGGGGTGTCAGTGCCGGGGGTCCCGGGGATGTCAGTGCCCGGGGGTGTCAGTGCCGAGGGTGTCAGTGCCCGGGGTGTCAGTGCCCGGGGGTGTCAGTGCCGGGGATCCCGGGGTTGTCAGTGCCGGGGGTCCTGGGGGTGTCAGTGCCCGGGGTGTCAGTGCCCGGGGGTGTCAGTGCCAGGGGTCCCGGAGATGTCAGTGCCCGGGGTGTCAGTGCCCGGCGTGTCAGTGCCCGGGGGTGTCAGTGCCGGGGCTGTCAGTGCCGGGGATCCCGAGGGTGTCAGTGCCCGGGGGGGTCAGTGCCCGGGGGGGTCAGTGCCCGGGGGGGTCAGTGCCCGGGGGGGTCAGTGCCCGGGGGGGTCAGTGCCCGGGGGGGTCAGTGCCCGGGGGGGTCAGTGCCCGGGGGGGTCAGTGCCCGGGGGGGTCAGTGCCCGGGGGGGTCAGTGCCCGGGGGGGTCAGTGCCCGGGGGGGTCAGTGCCCGGGGGGGTCAGTGCCCGGGGGGGTCAGTGCCCGGGGGGGTCAGTGCCCGGGGGGGTCAGTGCCCGGGGGGGTCAGTGCCCGGGGGGGTCAGTGCCCGGGGGGGTCAGTGCCCGGGGGGGTCAGTGCCCGGGGGGGTCAGTGCCCGGGGGGGTCAGTGCCCGGGGGGGTCAGTGCCCGGGGGGGTCAGTGCCCGGGGGGGTCAGTGCCCGGGGGGGTCAGTGCCCGGGGGGGTCAGTGCCCGGGGGGGTCAGTGCCCGGGGGGGTCAGTGCCCGGGGGGGTCAGTGCCCGGGGGGGTCAGTGCCCGGGGGGGTCAGTGCCCGGGGGGGTCAGTGCCCGGGGGGGTCAGTGCCCGGGGGGGTCAGTGCCCGGGGGGGTCAGTGCCCGGGGGGGTCAGTGCCCGGGGGGGTCAGTGCCCGGGGGGGTCAGTGCCCGGGGGGGTCAGTGCCCGGGGGGGTCAGTGCCCGGGGGGGTCAGTGCCCGGGGGGGTCAGTGCCCGGGGGGGTCAGTGCCCGGGGGGGTCAGTGCCCGGGGGGGTCAGTGCCCGGGGGGGTCAGTGCCCGGGGGGGTCAGTGCCCGGGGGGGTCAGTGCCCGGGGGGGTCAGTGCCCGGGGGGGTCAGTGCCCGGGGGGGTCAGTGCCCGGGGGGGTCAGTGCCCGGGGGGGTCAGTGCCCGGGGGGGTCAGTGCCCGGGGGGGTCAGTGCCCGGGGGGGTCAGTGCCCGGGGGGGTCAGTGCCCGGGGGTGTCAGTGCCGGGGGTCCCGGGGTGTCAGTGCCCGGGGGTCCCGGGGGTCCCTCTCCCTCCGGCCCCACCCCCGCAGAACGATCCGGCCCTAGGCCCCGCCCCCGACCCAGACCACGCCCCCGCGCTGTGCCCCGCCCCCTGACAGGGCGCGACGCTCGTGGTCACGTGACGCCGCCATCCGGGTCCTTTGCCTTCTCTGCCTCGTCCCAACATGGCGGCCCCAGGTGAGCGCTGCGCCGCGGGCCCGGGCCCCGCCGGCCCGCGTGGAGCTCCGCGGGCACTGATGGCAGCATTGATGGCGGCCCCGAGGCTGCTCCGAGCGCCGCCGCTTCCGGAGATGGTGCTGGGGGGGAGGCGGTGGCGGGAAAACCGGGGGAAGCGGCGGGAAAACCGAACCCCCCCCTTCCTCCTCCGCCGCGTCCCCTCAGGGCGGGCGCGCGCCCTTCCTCCCCCCTCCCGCCGCTTCCCATTGGCGGGGGTGCGCGCGCGGCCTGTGATTGACGTGCGCGCACTGGGGGCCCCCCAGCACCCCCCCGTCTCCCATTGGCGGGGGCGCGCGCGCCCGGTTGGTGATTGACGTGCGTGCGCCCAGCCGGTGATTGACGTGCGCGCGCCGGGCGCGGCCCGGCGCGTGCGCGCGGAAGGGGGGGGAGGGGGCGACGCGCCCACGTGGCTGCGAACCGGGGGGGGCTCGGAGGAGCCCCGGTACCGGGAGCCCGGGGGGAGAGGTGGGATCAACCTCCCCGCCCGCCCGTTTGCCCTTAGGGGCTTCACCGGGACCCCCTTCCCGGGCCCGCGGTGCCCTTGAGGCTCCTTGGGGTCAGTAACGGGGAGGCGGGGCAGGATGTGACCCCTCCCCGCCCCTCCAGGGGTCGGTCCCGGGGTGGGGGAGCACACCAGACTCCCCCCAGTTCCAGCCCGGCTCCCCACTCCATTCCCGATCCTGTAGCATCTCCCGGAATCCCCGGCTCTCCTTGGAGGAGGAGGGGGGATCCCGGTGGTGGGGTGAGCATGGGGGAGCTGGAAGGTGCCCCCAGCCCGAGGCTGGATGTTTCCCACCTGGATCCATCCCTGTCCCAGCTTTCCCTGGGCCTCAGGTGCTTCCCTCATTCCCAGCAGTGTCCCAGGCTGGTTTCCTGGGGGAGGTTGGGTCACCCTGGGGCAGCTCTGAGTGTCTTGGGGCTCCTGCACCCCAGGCTGCGATTGCCGTAGGAGTCCAGGAACGGCCCCACACGTCCCTGAAATCCATAGTGGGGAGGGAAGGGATGGGTTGGGAGAAGATGGAGCCATCCCAGGGGTACCACCCGCTCCCAGTTCCCATGGGAAGATGCCGGTGGTGGTTCTCTCCATACTGGATTTCCATGGAATAGCACATTTCCAGGCCATTCTGTGAGCAATCCCATCTCCATCCTTTTTATCCTCGTTAAAGCCCTTCAGTTGACTCATTAATTATTATTGTCTCTGGTCAGAGATATCTGACTAGAAGCTCTGGCCATCCAAAAATTCATCATCTCTCAGTAAAAAAAAAAAAAAAAAAAAAAAAGGGGAATGTTTTTTCAAGCATTTCTCTTCCATGTCCTTGAAACCCATCAGTTTTCCCTCCCCTGGGACCACAACTGACCTCCCCAAAACCTGCTGGGGGAAGGAGGGGGATCTGCCGTTTCTCTGGGGCTCCAAGCCCCCCGGCTCCACCCGGAGGGGTTTTTCCTGGCAAATGCAGCGGTTTTGCCAGGAAAGGTCCCAGATCCAGCGGCAGAACCACATGAGGGCAGCAGTTCCTCCCGGAAGGAGGGAAGGCCGGGGGAATTGTGAATCCAAAGCCACCTTCCAGGAAATATCCCGGTTTTCCAGGAGGGTCACAGCACGTGCCTGGGTGTGTCCCCATAGGGGGTGGGATGGGGACAGGTTTTCCCGTGGGAATAATGAACAAAGGGGGCTGGGGAGTGGCTCCTGGCCCCTTGTCCCCTCCCAGTGGCACCAGTCCAATTCTGGTGTCCCATGTCCCTCTGGAGCCCCTTCCACCCCTGTGCTTCCTGTCCCTATCCTGGGTCCTCATGTCCAGCTCCTCATATCCCATCCCAGTGCCCCATGTCCCATCTTGTGTCCCATCCTGTCACTTCCTGTCTCCTCTTGGCTTCTCCTGTGCTGCCTCCTGTCCCATCCCGGTTCCTCGTGTCCCGTCCTGGTGCCCCACCCAGGTGGCTCCTGTCCCACCCTGATGCTCTCATCCCAGCACCTCGTGTCCTCTCAGTGCCATGTCCCATCCAAATGCCTTGTGTCCCATCCTCTGTCCCCTCCCAGTGCCTTCTCTCCCATCTCAGTATCTCATGTCCCATCTTGTGTCCCGTCCTGTCACCTTGTGCCCCATCCTGGTGCCTCATGTCCCATCCCAGTGACCGGGGTCACATCTTGGTGGCTCCTGTCCTCTCAACTCCTTGTGTCCTGTCCTGACACCTCCTGTCACCTCTTGGCTCCTCTGTCCCATCCCAGTGGCTGCTGTCCCATCCTGGTGCTCTGTGTTCCATCCCAGCACTTCCTGTCTCATCCTGGTGCCTCGTGTCCCATCTCCTGTCCCCTCCTGGCACCTCATGTCCCATCCCAGTGGCTCCTGTCCCATCCTATCCCATCCCATCCCATCCTCATCATCCTGCCTCCCCATCTGTCACCTTGTGTCCCATCCCAGGGCCTCCTGTCCCATCCTGATGCTCCGTGTCCTCCTGTACCGTTTCCTCCTGGCTCCTGCTGTCCTGTCTCATGTCCCTTTGCAGTGGCTCCTGTCCCATCCCAGCTCCTCCCATTCCATCCATGTCCCGTGTCCCATCCCAGTGTCCCGTGTCCCATCCCTGTGCCCCATGTCCCACCCTGGTGTCCCCAGTGCTATTCCAGTGTCCTGTGTCCCATCTGTCTCCCCAGTCCCCTCTGCCATTGCCCTGTTCCTGTCCCTGCTCTCATTCCACCTATTCCCACTCTCCTTCCCTCCCATTCCCACTCTTT